AGTGAACACAAGTGAGAATTAGGAAAAACCAGGCAAATTACTGGGTGGGACTGCCCTAAAGATAAATCCCCCCTACCCCATTATCAAACACCCCCTCTGCAGTCTGAATCCACACTCACCTGCTCTCTGGCTCGAGATATCCATGTGTCCAGGAGCAGCTCCATCCTGCTTTGGTGAAATCTCTTGGTTGTCTTCACAGCTATGAAAATGTCCTCAAGAGTCAGGCTTCCCTCAGTCCTGTATTCCTCTGGCCAATGGACTCGTGGGTCCTTCTGCCTCCTGCCACCTCCTCCATCCGGGCTCGCTTTGCTCCGTTGCTCTGTCTTCTGTGACATGCCCTCCCCGAGCCCTGGGTACCGAGCTGCTTCCCGAGCCCCATGGTGCCGCACAGAGAGGAGAGCCACGCTGACAAGGAAGACTGCAGCTCCAGAGAGACCACGGATGAGCCGACGGCCCATAGCTCCCAGTTTATTCCTGTCACAGCCAGTATCTTACTGAACTAAGACAACCACTGCGGGTACCTCCACGTGAAGCCATCCACTCTTCTTGAAGCCTCCAAATGGGCAGAATCAGCCAAGAGCAAGGTCTGGACAGGATGTGGCCAAGGAATAGGGTGGGTGAAGACCAGAAAGGAGGGCACCAGTGAAGCAGAGGGAACTGTTCACAGACTCAGATGGCTCCATGACCCGGCAAGGCAGGGACCCGCGATGGGAAAGCACTGCGAGGCGGCCGGCAGGTGGCTGGCACAGCCTTCCCGGAGCAAAGCGAGCATCCCGAGGGTCCCGGGGACCACGCATGTGGCAGCCCTGCCTCTCCACCTGCTCCCACCCTACTGCTCGCTTTGGCTCCACTTCGGCCCCGGCCCCTGTCCCTGTCCCGCCTCCGGGTATGGGGCGGAGCGCCAGCCCCGGGGGAGGAAGAGGATGGAGCGGGGAGGATGGGGAAGGGACAGCCCGTGGTCTGACAGTGGCATTAACACACTGGGAGCCTCGGAGCTGATTTGGGTGGACAAACCTGTTGCTTGACTATTGTCCCCGCTCCGCTATGACAGCGCTGTGCTCCTGCGGGAGGAGAAGAGGGTGGCAGGGATGTGCGTGCTGGTGGAGCTAAAGTGCAGGGTGCTCCATTGTCCTTGGGAAGAGCCGTGCTTCCACAGGAATCGCCCCAGATGTTTCCTGAATTTATCTTTAACATCACCCTGCCTCTCCAAAGCAGGACTGTGTGTCCGCTGCTGCCCCCCTGGTCTCTAAGGAGGGTCTGACCCCCACTTCTGGCAACCATCTCCCCCAAACCACACCCCAGACCCTCCGTACCCGTGAAGGTCCCTTTCTGTCCGCAACCATGCATCCCCTCTGCCCCATCTCACATCCTTACCAGGGATGCCCCACTGTCTGCTGCCCAAGTGACTGCAGAGCCAGTGACACTCACACCAGCACCAGAGAGTGCAAGGGAGGGCCTAGCACCTCCATTTCAATGTCTGTGGTCACCACTGAGTTTATATCAGGCCCTTGCCCCCTGCAGCAGGGCTGAGCTCAGCAACTTGTCCCTTGCAGCTCTTGTGCTGTCCAAGATGATGCTTCCTTTTCCCCTTCCCCAGGGAAGGAAGGGGGTGAGCTCTCCCTCTGTGGAGTACACCAGAGAGTCCTGCAGGCTCAGCAGACAAATAGCATCTCCAGCTCCTTCCTCCCAACACTGTTGGGCATGGCTGTATATCTCCCCTGTGCCTCCTTCACCAGCAAGGCCAGCGAGACCAAGGAGGGTATTCTGAGGCCATAACACAGAATATGCTGAGAGTAGCTGAGCAAATCCTTCACGGAGGAGGCTTTCCCTAGGGATAGGGGTGTCAGAGCCCCTCCTGAGCCGAAGAACACCACGGACAGGAAATTTTGGGTCAGCACCATGGATTGCTGCATGATGTTCCCGGTTCAGTTGGATATGGGGTAGATAACCATGAAGATCCCTTTCATGTTATCTCTAGGTCACTTCACAGAGCAGCCAAGGAGGGTACAGAGAGGCAACGAGCTAACGGGTATCATCCAGGAGGGAGATGACAGCGCGCCCCTAGCTTCCCTGTGCAGCAAGTATGGGTACAGCAGGATGGCATTGCTCCACATAAGCTGCTGAAATCAGAGCACCTCCTCAGGGAGCTGCAAACTGTGGGCATTCAATCAGCATCCCACAAAATAAAAATAAGAAGTAATAAGATGGGGACCCAGGGGAAACGTGTGGGGACACAGCTCCATGTGGCAAAGGACCCCCCCCGTGCACATGTCAGAACATAGGACTTGAGAAAAGGGGTCAGGGAAGGGGTCAAGGTCTCTCTGTTCCACACTCCCACCGTGTGTCCGGACACAGACAAGTTCCAGGCACACACTCCCTGCAGGGCTAAAGCCGTGTGCTCGGTTCCCCCAAGCCTCACACGTACACGTTCACCCCAGCCCTGTCCACAACTTCTTTCCTTTGTAAAGAAGAAACCGCCAAATCCACTTCTCCTCCCTCCTCCCATGTAGCTCTCCGAGTCTCCATGGCTCCTAGCCCTCTCCTGAAGCATGAACATCTCCAGGGCATCTCCTATATCCCTTTGGAGAGTCCCTGCAGCTTTCATTTTTAGATGCCTTTGAATAGCAAAGCTTCCTTACACTGATTTGGGGCAAGGGGGGAGTCATTCACCTTCAGGCCTTACATTACTGATGGCGTGACTGATCCACTGCCTCATCCTAAATACTGGGATCACTCCCATGGCTACCCGCTGCTCCCGAACCAGAAATGAACCTCTCCAAGTGCTCCAGCCACATGCCAGGCAGCTGTAAATACAGCTTCCATGGCTCCCAGCCATCCTGCAGCACCTCCCAGCCCTGAGAGGGAAAGGGGGACACAGGCAGAGGATCCTTAATGATGTCCCCAAAATACATACAAATATGACACGAAGCTACCTTGTACAGAGCATGGTGCTGGGATGCAGAAGAGGTCACATCCGACCACGTACAAACCAGAACATGCCTGATGCTAGAGGTGAGCACAGCCTGCTTCTTGCACTGAGACACCTCTTTCTTCTTGGGTACCAAGGATGGGTGGGGTAGCATCAGGTGCCCAATCCTGCCCCGGGGTTGGGGGGTACATGGGACATACACCCCATAGTGCTGCAGCTCTTCTGGGGCATGGGGGGCAGCATGGAAAGGCTGATGCCTTCCCAGAACACACACGCTGCCTTCACCTTGCTCTGGGTGACTTACAGGGGCTTGCAAAGGTTGCTACAGCTGGTAATTAGTGCCCAGGGCTGCTAATTGCATTCTGTTACCTAACCCGTGACTCATTCCTGGGAGCAGGCAGCACCCCCCCAGAGGCACAAGGAAGGTGGGATGAGGTGTGTGGGACAGCAGGAGGTCGTTCAGGTTTGCCCTGGAGCCCTATGCTTCTCACCCGTGTCCACAACGAGTTGAGGCTGGATTTTGAAACCCTCAGGGCAGACAAGGAGTAAGAGGGGGCCTGGTGGAAGCCTGGGAGCAGGCAATGGTGCCTGCTTGCCTCCCAGAAACACCACTGCTTTCCTTTCCTTTCCCTCAGGCTGACAGCACCGATGGCCCAGGGAGGTGCTGGGAGACATCGATGGGGGGGGGATAGTAAGCACCAAGCTGGGAGTCTGGACTACCGAAAATGGGGGCCTTGCTCTTAACCATCCTCAGCCTAGGCTATAGGATATAGGGGATGGTTCCCAGTGCCAGCAGGGCCACTGAGTTATCAAGCCCTTCAAGTGCCTCACACAGTGCTCTCCCTGGGTACTCAAGCGCTACCTTTTTCCCCTGCAAAGATGTAAACTCTAATGTTCAAATCCATGATGGGATGGGAGCTTGCTTTGGGACCTGTCTTCTCATCAGCTCAACAAGAGTCCCAGATTGTCTGCCTGCAGGGCAAGCACCCTCGAAGGGGCCTGTGCTGGGATGTTCAAGCTGCATCCCCTGGAGTGGGTATCATTTGGGAGCTTTCATCTGGAGCCATGTGTTACAGCAGTTCCCCCTTCCCTGGGAGGAGAGCTGCATTGCTCCAGGGCAGAGCTGGGACTCTGCTCTACATTTTAAGGACTGCAGGTTAAAATCTCTTCATTTTCTTCCCTCCTCCCTTCACTCCTGTCCTCATAAAAGACACAGACAACTGGTTTAGAGCCTGAAATAACACCACACAGGGGACCCATGAAGATCAGCAAGTTAATCTTTGCTCAGAGATTCAAAACACATGGCACTAGCGGTACCCTCATCGCGGGGGCAAGGAGGACACAGAGAGGACCTTGGTGCTGGCTGTCCATCTTCTCCCATCAACCACAGGACCAGTGGGCTCAGCCCTCTGCCCCACAGAGCCTCCCAGAATCATACACTTCATTTTCCTCTTGTGTGCCCCAGGAAAGACCATCTACTACCACAAACACCAAGTATCCTAGCATCCCTTTGCCATAGCAGAGCTGGTAATGGCAATTGGTTAGGAGCCATGTTAAGAGTGGGTGAGCATGGCTGCTGCTACCCCAACCCTTCCTCTTCGCTCTGCCAGAGCCTGAACCCACACTCGCCCCATCTCAGGGTGAGAACAGCCCCCATGAGGGGGGCACTGTCCCCACTCTCCTGGCAGCATGGCTGGGCTCAAGTCTCACTGTTGTCACCCAGGAGGGTGAGGTAGCTGGCTCCTCATGTCACCATAACCAGGGCACGGAGGAATGCAAAGCTCTAGGGACCTCAGCCAGACACATCAAATTAGCTTTTTCCCTGGCTTTCCTAAAGCACCGTGACCACTGGGGAAAGAGGCAAGGGACTGAAAAACAAAGGGCAAGTAGAAATTGGAGCAGGCTTGGTCTGTGGCACACTCAGCATGCTCTCTCTCCACAATAACAGCAAAAGCAGCGCTCCCTCCTTCCCCTGGAGGCAGTTGGGTCTCAGCTGAAGGAGGAGGAAAATACCCTGTCACAAAGGAGGCAAACCTTCCCAGTAACACACATGCCCACAGCCTGCCAACCATTCCCATTATGAACGGTATTTAATTCTCCCTTATACGCACTCTGCCAATAAAAGGCTCCATTAATAATTTACAAGCAATAAGGAGTACAGCTCCTATAAAACAAGTGTTTGTCGCAAGCTTAGTGTCACTCCAGCCATGACAGGGCATTGGCACACGAGCCATGCTCCCTGCACCACGGGGCCGCGGGCGAGGTAGACAGGGGAAGAGGGGACCCGGAGCACACAGTGCCGCAGGGCAAAGTAGACAGAGGTGATAGAAAAAGGGCTTCAAACGTGTGTGAGATACGCTCCTAGACAGCCTGATCCCACACAGTACCCCTGCATTCCCCATCTGGCAATCTGACCACGTACCAGAGACAAGGCGATGGGGAAGAGCCCATGGGGGTGGTTTCCCACCATGAGGGTGGAAGACGTCTCTCCACTAAGACACAGAAAGCTCAGACAGGGGAGGCAGCACATCTTACTCCCCGACTCTTGGTGGCCTCAAGGGGACCAGAAAGGCTGCTCCTGATGGCCTTTGCTGCCAGCATCCCCTCGGTGAGGAAGGACACACTGCATGTTCTCCTGCCCGAGAACAGCTCCTGGGGACAGAAGCTGGTAGCTCTGCTACCCCCAAGCTCAGTCGTCGCCCTCCTCAATCCATATGGGCCGGGTTTGCTCCTGGAAGATGCAGCCACGAACCACCTTGGGCAGCTCCTCAGCATGGCTCCAGGCATGGGGCTCCACACGGGCCCAGGAGCAGGGCAGAGTGTGAAGACCCTGCTCTGCAGTGCGACACACCTTCAGCACCTCCGAGTCCCGCTGGCCCACCTTCCCCAGCAAGCTCCTGTGGGAAACACAGAGACAAGCGTTATCCTTGGTGTAAAGGGATGGGGTGGCAAAGCTACCCGGGAACAACATCACACGTACGTAAAGCCACTTTCCCTGCCCTTTTTCCCCTCGCATTGACCAACCACAACACACAGAGCAAGTGCTCTCACCCCAATCCCTGTCCCTCTGAACAGACACAAGGGCTTTTCTCTCTTGCATCCCTCCTGCAACACCCTTCATCCATGCCACTCCATCTTGCCTTACCTGAGTCCTCTGATGTTCTTCTCCGTGACCTCCACATGGATAACAATGGGGTATATCTCACTTTTAATTAGATCCTTCACACTCTGAACTCCCAGCTCTAGCAGGCAGTGTTTATTCTGGAAGGGAAATTGAATAGATTTACTGATTTAAATGGAGGAAAAAAAGAACCCCGGCCCCTGACAGTCACATTAAATCAAACCCCATACTGTGCAGTATCATTGCTTTTCCAATAGTAATTCCATTAAATGTGGGATTTATGGACAGTGCCAAGAAAGAAGGGAAGAATTACAAAGCAGGGTCACCCACTCAATCAGTGTCAACCCAAGCAAAGAGCCCAGTAGACTCCTCGCTCAGCCACAGACCACCTTTACATTCCCTTTGTCATCACTGTCACCCACAGCGCCACATTTCTGCATCTGCCCTGAGCAGAGCTGCTGCTGCTTCGGCAAAGATGAGGAATATGAGAGCAGGGAGGTTGCTCCTGCTTATGGCATTTCCCACTGCCTCCCCATGAACCCTCAGTTGCCATTTCTTTCACCCTAGCTCAACAGACTTAGGGAAAAGTCCATACCTGCTGATCCACAACCCCTGGACCTGAAACACACTCCAAGCTACACAGCCCTCAAGCAAGCAGCTTCTTCTCTATCGGCTGCATGACCCTCCTTCCTACCCCTCTCAGCTGTCCCTTCCTCTCCTCCAGTATGAACACGGTGACATCTCCCCACACACCAAAGAGCTCAGCACCTTCTCCATCGCCTCCCGGATCATGCGGATTCGCCCTCTCTCCCTCCGGTCCTGGGGGCCAGTTCTAAACACAGGGCGAGCAGGAGTTGTGCTGGGATCCCCTTCTGCCAGCTTCTCTGCAAGCCAAGAGGAGATAGGGAAAGGGAGAAGTCAGCCCCTTCTCCCTCTTGCACATACTTTCTACCCCAGACCCCGCACATTTGCTGCTGCGCTGATGCTTATCAAGCTCAGTGTTTACGGACTCTGGAGAGCAAGCCTAATTATACAACATTACAGATTGGCATGGATCTCCTGCAGCTTCCTGCATACAGAACAAGCACGATATCATAGCCGAAGACACCTTGCAGTGCAAAAGCAGCACTTGTGTTACAGTACTACAGCAACCTAAGACAGCTCACAGCCATTCCCCACCGTTCAACCTGCTCCGTGATAGAGTATGGCAGAAAAACGATCACTTTATTTTGCCAGGTTGGTTTCCTGCAGGGTTTGTGAGCTACATGGGCTCACAGATGGCTCCAGTGAGCAGCAGGGCTGGGAAATCAAGAGGAGCGTGCACCTTGGCATGGGAGAGTGGGAGAAAGATGGGGGCAAGCTGAGCCTCCCTGTGTTGGTGGCAGCCTGCTCAGAAGCAGGACAGCACCCAGCAGCCGAGCCAGCACCAGGCAGGACAGCAGCAGAGAGGTGATGCTGAGACACTGAGCCGGCAGGACAGTGACGTCTGACATGGTCAAAGCAATGATTGCCAGCTGCCCCTCATAGCTCCCAGCACAAGATGATACAATACACACAAGGAACCTCACTTGGGAACCGCAGGCTTCACAACCCAGTGTGGCTGAAGTAGGCACCAGGCTTTACCTGCTGACCACGCTGCTCACACAGCCACCAAAGTGTGAGCAGGGAACCTAATAAGGCTTTTAGGAGCTGCCCACCCTGAAGGTAGAAATAAAGGAATGCATTTAGGAGAAGGCATGTTTGGAACTGGGTCCAGAGCACGTTCCAGCTCTCCCAAGCCCCAGGCTGGCTGGGCATCCTCTGCTGCCTCTGCCTGGTGGCACAGGTACTTCCTTAGTAGAGATGGATGTGCAAAGCCATCCACCTGGCATTTCCTTTGGGGGAGAGCAGGCTCCTGTGGATGATCATCTGGCTTATACCAACTCTGCACCGGCTGGGTGTCTTGAACACCACCGGGTCACCTTCCTTCCCTCACAACAGGCAAAACTGACCGGGGAGAATGGAGTGGGATTTTTCCCCTCAGTGTAAACTCCAAGATGTAGTAACAGCTTCGAAGCATGTTCCCATGCAATGCGAGCGGGACCCTGCAGAGGGCTCAGTAGGATAGGATATACGGCCAAGTCACTCAGTTAAAAGGCGCAAACAGCCAAAATCTGCAGAGCCACCCTTCCTCAGCACTCAGAGTTTTCACTACCTCCCCCCCAGAAAATACACAGACTCGTTTTTCAGTCCTGCACTTGGCCAAGGGAGAATTCTAAACACAGGGAAAGGAGAGAGATGGAGAAGGGAGCAGGGAGGAGGAAAGGAGGTGTCCTCTGTGAAAATTCCCTACTGCCTTTGAAGCAGTGTGTCAGCCTTGTGCTGCTGGCAGAAAGAAGAGGACATGGGAGGAAGAGCTGGTATGAAGTTAGCCTGTGGATCCCACCTCAGCCAGGGGCTTCGTCTCTGGGAAGAAGCACACAGAGCAGCAAGGCAATGCCACCATAGCTCAAGGGAAGAGAGGATGCCATGCCCCAGGAGACCAGAAGAAAGGGCTGGCTTCCCTGAGGGCCAAAGGGATAGGACACTGCTAGAAACAGGAGGGAATGTTGCAGACACTCAGCCCACAAAGGTGACCTGTTAACAGGTACTGTCTGGGAAGACCGAGAGACCTTGTGCTCTTTCTGAGAGTCCCATAAGACCACATCTCATCCTTCCAAGACTAAGGGCATCTCTTCCCAACTGGGCTAACCAAGACTCCACAGAAGTGACCCCTTTGAGCAACATCTTAACTTCCCACTGTAAGGCTAAGAAGCAGCAAGAGGTAAAAGGTGAAAGCAGCCCTTGGAAGCAGGAGACTTGCATATTTTACCTCACTTGGCCACAGGCTCCTAAACCATCCCTGGACATGTCAAGCACTTGTTGCTGCCTACCTGCTGGGCATACATGGAAGTCCAAGCGAGAGGTGGGCAAGTCCAGCAGGTTCCTGATGAGCCGTGGTGCAATGCAATCAGGTGAAAGCACTACAGGACGGGGGGTCTTGACCACCACAGGGCGCACCAGGCTGTAAGGCTTCAGACTCATGTCTGGGTCTGAAAGCCAGGAACGAAGAAAAGAAAGGCAAAGGTGAGAACATGGGAGACCAGCCTGTCACTGGCCTAAATGATCATCCCATTCGTCCTGTGCCATCCTTTCATCCTGACTCATGGAGGCACCTACCAACCATCCTATGTCGCAGGAGAGATCCTATCAACACTCACTCACTGCAGATACCTTTGCTGTAGACCCCCTTGCCCACTTCCTTTGAGTTACCCACCAGTTTATCCTCCATAAAAGGTGTGATGACCCCAAGAACCACAGAAGCAATGGAAAGCCCCAGAAAATCAGGGAATAGAGCAGGGGATTTAAATACGCACAGGGTTCCCCAAATCCCATTAGAGTTGTAAGAGGGATCCTGAGCAGAAAGACTGAGGCATCCCAGATGCCAATGTCCCGTCAGTGCCCACAGGGGATGACTGCATCTCCAAGGGTGATGGATAGGTGCAGGGCTAACAGCTCACCTGAGCAGGGGTCCATCCACAACTGCCGAGGGGGCTGTTCTGGGCTCCTCTGTGGTTTGGATTTCACCAGGCGCAGCTGGTCCAAGGCCCGTTTCTTTAGCTGAGGAGAAAGTGAGGGCATTAAGGCTGAGAGCATAGACCACTTCACACACACACACAGAGCTGGCTTCAGAACACCCGCTGGCAAAAGGGATGGAGTGCACATACACAAAGCATGGGACCAGGTCTGCCACCCATCAGGTTCAGTCTGGGAAGGGGGCAGGAAAGCAGCCTTAGAGCAGGAACACTGCCTGGTTTATAAGCCTCTGCTCTGCTTGCTAACCCAGCTGCCACCTCTATACAAGCTGGTTTACCAACAGAGTGGGCCAGATTGAGTGCTGAGGTGGTGGGGTGGCCATAGGCACACATGCATGCGGATCTCACTGCTGGCTTACATTATTTCTGTGGCCCCTCTGCTGCACAGGCATCTGGCCCTTCTCCTGGATCTTCAAAAGCTGGTGAGCCCTAAAAAGACAGAGAGCTTGCACTCAGTCAGCTCTAGAGCCCCCATAGCCTGCTGAGATCCTCTTCACCAAACCCTACCGACCTGCTAAAGCACAGGCATACCAAAGCCCTCACTCAGCCTCCCAGTCTGTCAGGACCACCCAAACACTACTGCAGTGGTCCCTCATACAAGGCTTGGGCAGCCCACACTATCAAGAGTCCTCATGGGCTTTAGGGGATGCTCACTACAGATAAATGGGGCAGGTACCATATGTACCCCCCTGACTTCCTCCTCTCCCTGATTACCTGCTGTAGTTAGGCACTGTTCCCTTGTCCAGGTCCCGCATGGTCAAGGGGTCGACACGGGAGCAGTACCACTCCAGCCGCCCTTTGTGCATGGTGTCTGTGACATGGAGGATCTCCCGACACTTCACGCACAGCGCGTAAGGGTCTGACGGCTCCAGGAGGGACAGGTTGGTGCGTACATAGAAGGAGTCTCCAGAAAACTTCTTCCCTTCTTCCAGGGCGTCCCGCAGAGGCTGGTACCCTGGAGCAGGAGATACAGGTCACCACAGGCAGGGAGACAGGAGACAACCATCACCGATAAGATAGCCAAGGCCCCAGCACAGCTGTGATGCTATGGATTGGGGTGGGGGGTGCAGAGGAGGCAAACAGACAGAAGGTCTGTACCTCCATCCTGTAACTCAGAGGATGCACAAGTCACACCAGACAAGGAAAGCTACCGGAGCTACGGCCAACCCCTGTGTCAGATGGTGGCCTAGGACCAAACAGGAGAGGAGAGAGAGTAACTGAGATTTACCTCCAGGGTTGGGTGGAGGGGCTGGAAAGGGGACAGAGAGCTCAAGCTCAAAAGAGACCCAGCTGCCAGGGCCTTACCTTCCAGGTCCAGCTGAAAGATGAGGCTAGAGGGCTCCTCCCAATGCAGCAGGCTCAGGAAGGCAACCTCCCGCGTGCAGTTCTCCAGGGAAAGCACCTCTTCCTTCAACGATGGCACTCTCAGCTAGAAAGGACCCGATGCCATTAGACCCAAAGACTGGAAGAGCAGGCTCCCCTCCAGCTCCCTCACCCATCAGGGTTATACAAGAGATGTTACAGAGTGAGGCAGACCCAGGGAAACCTCTGCCTGAGGACAAAGCATCCTCAGTCTGCCTCTGGCTCCCTCTTCTGCCTCTGAAATACCTGCTGCAAGCCACCACCCGGTGCGGATGCTGGGCTGCTGTGAAAGCAAATGCGTGTGCATGAACACGTGTGGGAGTGGGGCAGGAGAGATGGTTTATTTTCGGTTACAGGTGGGATATTAACTCAAGTAGCATAGCTGTATATTTCTAGTGGTGTCATGCCAAAACAAATTCCCTTCCCTCCGTCCCTTCAGCATCCTTCTTCAGAGCAATTATTCTCTATAGCTCGAGAGGGTCACAAAGGGCAGAGAAATCTTGCTCCAGAATTGATTGCTTTGCAATGGGCATATGCAGGATGCAAACTGCTCTGATATACTACAAGGTGACAGCCAAGACCAGCGCCATGTAGCCATATTGCTGTCTTAACTGTGTGACCTCTTTCCTTTCTCCCCTCCCACAGCTGAAGGAAGTGTTTCGGAAGGTCTCAGCATTTTTACATGCACAGCTACACTCAAGTACAACGAGACCTGGATGGGCATTTGTGCTCCATAAAGCTCTAGAGAAATGGAGGTGAGCTTCAAGCTGGGTAGAGGTGAGCTTGCACTGGGGACCACTTGACACTACCTGCATCATCCCATATGCCTTACAAACCCCAAAAGAGCTCTTTCCCAGACTCACCTCAATAAGCCGGCACCCTTCCCTAAGTCCTGCATCCTCGACCTGTGAGCCTGGCTTGACCCACTGGACATAAATCCCTGTCCTGTTCCCTCCAAGGATGGAGATGTCTGCTCCAAGCCTCTTCTCCTGGGGTGAGGGGTTGCTGGGGTGACTCATGCTACAGAGCTGTACCACCAGTGACCTGGCAAGGAGAAAGCAACTGAAGTTTGCTACCTTTTCTAATATCTGCTCCCTCATGCCCTGTGTCCAGCTACAGGGTGCTTATCGTACTGAGCGCTGCAGTACAGAGCTTATGATTTATGGCCATAACACACAGAACCCCTACAGCCCCTTTCATCCCACCAGCCCCAACACCGAAGCCAAGCTGTGCTCCCACAGTCCTGTCCCAACCTAATCAGATGCGTGCCCAGGCCAGGGCAACATCCCCACCCTGCCATAACACATGGGACAGCGCAAAAACACTGGAGTCCCGCTAGGAAGCAAGGACTATTGTAGGATCTTCATCGCTCTCCTCTCCCGCTAGCGAGAAAGAGCTCAAGGAGAGAGGCAGAAAAGGTCCCCCAGCACCACAAACCAAGCAGCCAGCTCAGAGAGCAGTAGTCACCTCCTGGTGACCTCCTCACGGCTGGGAAGCGTGGACAAGCAAATCTCCGACTTCACCCTGGTGTAGGTGCTGCTGGAAGAAGAGGAGAAGGCCCCAAGCGAGGTGCTAGCAAAACCACTACCTAGGAAAGAGAGCAAGAGGGAGAGATGGAGCATGTCACCTCTCTGAGTGCTGCTGGGACCTCACGTTCTTAGAGTGGCAAAGGGCTGGCATCCCCTCCTGGGCATTTTCTAGCATCTGACTGGGAAACCCGAGGCTGCAGCAAGGCGCTGAACAGTCACCTTCCTGGCAAGGGTTTCCCAGGCCTCCTGGGAACAAGCAGACCTTTGCTCCCTTCATCAGCAGTTTGGTCAGAATGCAGCAGCAGCCAGGGCCACCTGGATGTGCCCATAGATCAGCCACCAGCACCCACCACAGTGCTCAGCACCAGGAGCTCCACTCCAGGACATTTACAACCCATCACCCCGGGAGTAGCAGATAAAGGGAGTATCTTGGTAACAGCCCAGGGCAAAGGCATTTCTCTCCTCTGTTAGCTAATCCCCCTATCCCATCAAGTTCTCCATCAACACAGCTTTCCATGAGTTAAACAGAGCTGATGTAAATAGCTACTGCTTTGTAGAGGAAAAGCCAGCTTTTCCAGCTGCTGTGCCTGGGGAATGCGTGGGTCCATAGCACCCTGCTAGGGGTGCAGAGCCCTCACAGCTGCACACACCTAAAGCATGGGGAGGCTCCATTCTCCAACCCCTCTCCCTATGGCCACCACTTCTATTTAGCTACACCCTCTGGGGAAAGCCCCCACCCCAGTACCTGCTGCATCTTCAATGCTGCTGAAGGAGCCACAGGACAAGCTACAAAGGAGACACAAAGGGGAGCTGTGAGTCAGCAGCTTTTCCAAAACCTGTTTGCATCTCATTCTGAACCCCATCCCCACCCAAGAAGCACCCCCCCAGCCAGCACCCAGCTCCCAACCGGCCTCCCCACTCCAGTTTGCCTTCTCCCCTTCCAGCCTGCTCTCCCTGGGCCCCGCAAGCCCCACAGAGGAGACACAGACTCAAGCAGCCCCCAGCAATCACCTTTTGTAGGTCATGCACCTATCTTCCCGCTGCCGACGGAGGATGGAGCCAATGCAAGGTGGGAAGGGGAAGGTGGAAAGACGGTTGATATCCTTCTCACTGTCAGGAGTCACCTCCTTGGGAAGAGTGAAAGAGAGATGCCCGATAACACCAACACCCAGCACCACCTATCCCCTCCCTTCAGGCCAGGCAGCAAACAGCTCCTTGGCTAACACATGCCTCTTCAAGGACCATCCACATCCCTCCAAACACCCAGGGGCACCTTGTTTTCCCAAGCAGAACATATGGATGGAGATACATGGCACTGCATCCCCATCTTTTTGCAATAGACAAGCTGTGGGAGCAGTAGCAGCTTCAGGGAATAACTAGATTTGTCAGTATGTCTCACTTCTAGCCACTGTGAACTCAGAGGTTCTGTGGGACTGCCCATTTAAGGGTGCTCTAGGATGAGAGTGCAAAAGGAGTCAAAGGAGATTGACTCCCTCAAAACCAACACATTTCTGCTACAGGGTTGGAAAGAGCTAGGATTTCTCCTGCAGCATATGTACACTGAACAGCTTTTTGGGGAGGATAACATCTTACTTGAGGCTGTTGATTCCTAAGGTGTCATATGGGATGAAGAGTTTCACTCCTCCTTTCCCAGCCAGTGAGCACTGCACACCTCAGCCAGTTTGTCAGAGAACACAGCACTGTGCCTGCAATCTGCTCCCACCTTACACGCTGCCCCATGCCCAGTCTTTCACCGAGTCACAGCCCTGCAATGAACCTGCTCCAATGCTCATGTTCCCTTCCTGAACAGCGTGGTTCCCCACTGCCCTCAGCTGAGGGTCAGCCTCTCCTGGTCAAGCACTCACCATGCTCTGAACAGCCAAATCCCCTGGGAAAGGGATAACAGAAACCCCCAGTACATCCACAGGTCCTGTCGTAGGGTTGTCTACAAGGCTCCAGGTGCTGCTGAGGTTGGAGCAGAGTGAGTAGGAAGAGCTGCACATCTGGGATAGAAGAGACTCCATCAACCCACTGCATCCCCCAGAGATCGGTCCTGATCCCTCTGCCTTCTCTATTCCCCCTTCTTTCCAGCCCCCTCACCTTGCCCAGGCTGCGGCTGCCTTGGCACCGCTGCAGCTGCGCCTCGAGTGTGCTGTTCAGCCCTTCGGCCTGGCTCAGCTTGCTTAGGAGCTCATCCCGCTCCTCCTCCAGGGTGCGTACGCGTTTGCGGTACTGGTCCTTCTCGATCAAGCTCTGGGAGTATTGCAGCTGCACCCCATCACGGCTCTGGATTGCCTACAAGGAGCCACGCTAAGAGTGAGAGGGGGCACAGAACTGCACTACTAGCTCTGCCTCCCACCCTGGCATGGATGGAGAAGATCCACTGGGAAAGGAGGGGACAGTCAGAGCAGAGGCAAAAGCTCTGGTCCTGCTGGGAGGTGGAGAGCCTGGGGAACAGCAGTTTACCTGGTCCCGCTCTTTTTCAATCTCCTCCAGCTGCAGCAGCACTGTGTTCATACGATGCTTGTAGAGATCACAGTCCTTCTGCAGCGTCCGGTACTTCAGCTGCAGATCTTCCACCTCCTGGAGGTACTGGCAACAGTGAGCAGTGAGCATTAGGCTCCCTGGAAAAGCTTCTGTGTCTTCCCAGCCCCCTCCCTGCCCTCTCTTCCAGGCCCTGCTTAGGGGATGGGGGCAGTGAGGGATGCTGTACCTTATCCCGCAGCTCTTCGGCCCACTGCAGCTCATTCTGCAGGGAGTTGAGTTTCTGGCAGAGATCCTGCCGGTCGTCTTGGGCTTCCTTCCAGTCGTGCTCCAGGATGTCCAGCAGGATCTGCTCAGAGCCTGGCACTGGGACCTCGCCGGGTGCCTAGGAGGTGAGAGGGTCCTGTCACTGCACCACAAGCACCAAGGGAGAACCAGACCAGGGCAGGGACAGGCAGCCTGCCACAGCTGCCATCAACACTCCTGCATTAATCTACTGTGCACTCCAAGGCACAGAGTCACCCTTATGAGCACATCCAAGAGCTGGAAAGAAGGACCCATCACTACCCACATCCAGAAGCAAGGGCAGCCACCACAGATACGTGGTGTGATACAAGAGATGCAAGTGATATGCTCAGAGGAAGGGATGGGCCAGCCCACTGATTCCCCTCATCTCTCCAGTGCCCATGTCACCAGCACTGGGAGTGCCCAATGGAAGGTGCTCAGACACCTGCTCTGCCCCCCCAGGTACCTGCAGCATGCCCTGCAGCTCCTGCAGCGATGCTGTGAGCCGCTGGTTCTCAGCCCGCAGCTCGGACACAGTGTCGGGGTGTCCCCGCTCCTCTGCCTCCTGCTGGGGGGGTGCAGATGCCTGCTTCCGCAGCAGGCTGCACTCCTCCTCTAGGCTGGCCACTTTGCACTTCAGCTGGTCCACCTGCAACCAGGGGAGAAAACACAGCCTGACACACACAGCCCTGCACCTCTGCCTTAGCGGGGAGTGAAGCACAGAGGATGCTGGGCAGAAAAAGGGGCTGGAGGTGAGGGAATTGAGGGCTGCAACCACGCAAAGGAGCATCCTGCAGCTGGGCCAAGCTTAGCACAGCTGCATGCAAAAGCTTTTCCCTGCAGGGCAAAGGAGGAAGATGCACTTGCATAGGCACACTCAGTCTCAGGATTCTCTCCCCATGCACGAAGTTTCATGCTACCTTAGGGCATCCCCAGTGCATCTGGCCTTGACTGTGGGTGAACCAGGGAACTCTGGTGCACTGCCAGGGCCAGCACCTGTGAGATCTCAAAGGCTTCCCAGCTCCTAGCACTGGAGGCAGGGGAGGTTCTCACTGACCTGTAACAACTGATAAGGTTTGTCAGAGAACCAGTTTCACAGCCAGGCAAGGCTATGACAGCAAACAGGACAGGGGAAACCTACCAAAGCCATCGAGCACTAAGCAACACTGCCAAAATTGCCAAGGAGGGGCTCAGGAACTGCATTACTTCTGTAAAATCTACCCAAAAGACCTAGGATGACTCTCAGACACCGGTCACTTCTGGACCATGGAGTCAGGAGGGGAAGGCACACTGGGACCTGGGGGTTTACCCTGCTTGCAAGGCGATTTCTTCACCCCACAGCCACACACCAGGAATTTGCCTCCCTGCTCACAGGAGGCCCAGGGAGCTGGTTTTAGCAGGAATACCAGATAAAATGTAGGGGAGGATCCCAGCCTTGGCAGAGCAGAATGAGGAATGAAGGGTAAACACAGGGCTGTGTGGGAGACCCAGGTCCAGACTGGTAGGGGGAATGCCAGGAGGCAGCAGAGCACTGGGGAGAATGGGTTATTAATAGGCTCAAGGTAGGGCTGTCCTTGCCCAGGCAGGAAATGGGTGCGTTTGCTGGAGGTGAGAGCTTGGCAGCTGGAGCGCGGTGTCACAAATTCCTTTAGGTATGCAGGGCATGAGTCTCCCAAACGTCATGAGAGAGACAAGGAGGTAGGTGGTGGGGATGGAGCCTGTGCCAGAACACTCCTATGAGCTGCAGGACGGGCTGGGCAGCTCTGGACCGCATGCAACGCACCCAGCACCCCATGTGCGGGTGGCTGCCCAGCCACCACTCTCACTAGAGGGGAAGATGCAAGCCCCTTCCTGGGGAGAAGTGAATACAAGCACCATTGCTCCCCAGGGCACCAGTGAGCCTCCTATGCTGTGCCCATGACTAAGGCGCATTCCCTTCAAGAGCAGGAGCATTTGCCCTGACACACATCCCACCCACCATCAGCTTCATGCTCATGGGCCACCACGCACAGTGTGCATCCCTCTCAGCCATCAGAGCCCCGCAGCATCCCACCACCAACCCTCTTGCTTCCCGGGGCCATACCACCAGCTGCAAGTCCCTGCTCCGCAGCACAGCCATGTTCTTCTCCTCGCAGAGCTGCGCATAGCGCATGGCCATCATGTAGTTCTCGTCCTTCAGCCTCAGCAGCTCCACGCTGTTGGTGTCCCACTCCTCTCTCAGCCGCTGGCAACGCTCCTGCACCTTCAGGAGCTCCTGCAGCTGCTTCTCCAGCCGGGCCTGCTCTTGCTCCAATGCCTGGTTTTTCACCTGGAGCTGGTGTTCCTTCAGCAGGAGCTCTTTGCGTTGGGCCCTCACCTTCTTCACCTCCATCATCAGGAACTGAGTTAGTCCCTCAGGGCCTTCCTCATCTGGGGGAGACAAAGGAGAATCTGGTCCTGGCTGCTAAGACATGGGTAACCCCAGGAAAACAACCTGCAGATTTGCCCAATGCTCTGTTTCCATCAAGGGATGGCAAGCTCTCCCAGGGGTTTGAAGCCCTTCTTGTCCCAGGCTTAAGGCACCACAGTCCATCACACATGTACATTTAATTGAATCATAGAACCACAGAATGGTTTGGGTTGGAAGGGACCTTAAAGCTCATCCAGTTCCAACCCCCTGCCACAGGCAGGGACACCTTCCACTAGAGCAGGTTGCTCCAAGCCCCGTCCAACCTGGCCTTGAGCACTGCTAGGGATGGGGCAGCCACAGCTTCTCTGGGCAACCTGTGCCAGGGCCTCAGCACCCTCACAGGGAAGAATTTCTTCCCAATACCTAATGCAAGTCTCCACTGTTCCAGTTCAAAGCCATTCCCCCATCCTATCTTTACCTTGCAAGAAGTCCCTCTCCAGATTTCTTGCCTGCTTCCAGATTGGAAGGCTGCTATAAGACCTATATATTTTAAAGCTATATCTGGCCCCCTCAATGCCAGGTCCAGAGCACAGAGCTGTCAGGGTAGCATGAAACAGGTTGTATGCATGTACATGCACAGATTTCTGGCCTTTCCCACGCAAGCAGCAGCTGAAGAGAGGCCGAAGCACCTACCCAGGATCATAGAACAGCGCTGGGCTGGCTCCCTCCCTGTTAGTCGTGTGTACTGCTCTGGGTAGTAAAACTCTAAGGATTCCAGGAAGGCTTCATAGCCTCGCTTCCCACGGCGCCGAAGGATGTCCATCAGGTAACCTGGGAGAAGGAATAAGAAGCTAGGATGAATTTCCTGCAAACCAGAGAGAAAAGAGCATAGCCCAGCTTTGTGATATGAAGCAGCATCTCCATAATTTCCAGTTCCATCCACAGGAACGGGAATGGCTAGAAGAGGGATTGTGGTGGGAGCACCCAGAGGGAGGTCCACAGGATAAGAGGGAGATCTGGCTGCAGAGCATCGCAGAGAACAGCAAAGCCGAGGCAGCAGTGCAGTGGAAGGACCCAGGAGGCCACACCACCCTATGCTGTGTAGCACTCACTGCATGTCAAAACCAGGCTGTCCCCCAGAAACCAGGCCCATCCAAGTGTGAGTTTGTGCTTTCTCCCACCTGTCTGGTTGCTTTTGCAGGGGAATCGGCACGAATTCAGCACCTCCTCCTCATCCTGCTCGTCTATCACACGGCACTGGCGCAGGTATGGGGTGAGTTTCGCTGGGTTTAGGGAGCGGGTTAGCTGGTGCCGGGCACTCTCGATCTTCTCCCAGATAGCATCTTCTTCCTCCTCCTGCTCCGAGAGGCTGTGGGCTTGGAGAGGAGCATTCTCCAGGGCTGTGAGGATAAAAGGAAAGAGAAGGTCTGAGGGATGATGGAGGAGCACAGGGTAAAAGGCACAAGTAGACATGGGAGAACATGAGTAGAGGTACGAGCATGCAAACAACTAGTTGTCCTGCAAATGGAACTCAGATACATCACAAGCCATTTTACATACAAATTGGTCCAGCAGGATCTTGAGTGTCCACCTAGTGCCTTAGATATGCAGAAAACAAGAGGTATATAAGGGATTTATGAGTATATACAGTAGGAAGTCTATAGAAGGTGTCATCCTCATCCCCGAAGCATTCTTAAATACCCACACACATCACATATCTTCACTTTTTCTCCATCCCTGAGAACAGGAAACTCTCTGGACCAAGCCTTTTCAGAGCCTGGGGCATACTTTCTCATACTGTGGCTGGAGAGGAGGCTTTCCCTGGGGATTCACTTGCCCTGTGCATGCACCAGGCATTGGTGGCCGAACTGGAAGCCTTGAGGGCACCATCCCATGGAGCACTTTTGCCTGCAGTACCTGTAGCCAAAGGTGAATTGCATAAGAGTATCTCCCATGTATCTTCCACACATCAGTGTGAAAAGATGTAGTAACAAGGCAATCCCACTGTCAATCAAATAAAGCAAGAGGGACCCCCTGAAGTCAATGGACCAAAAACCTTTAGAGCAGTGGTCTAAATTAAAACTGCTCCATGAAGTCCTCCAAGCCATGATGGAGCAGGTCTGTGCAACGAGCTCTCTTCCCAGCTATGTATCAACTCAACCAGCATCATCTACCTACACTTAAGAAATAATACCTGCTTCACAGGCCAGCACAAATCCTTTTAGTTGCCAAGACAAAGCCCAGCAAAGACCTCCTGAGACCTAGATGCCATCTCTCCTACCCAGTGTGTACCGTTACCTGCTGGTTGGTGCTGGCATGAAGTCCAGCTTTCCTACCCCAGCCACAAAACATCCCCAGGGGCAGTGTAGACATCCATGCTGCATGAAGGCAGAGGGAAGGAAGGGAAATCTCCCACTTTATTTTATTTGGGTTTAGGTTTTTTTCTCTCTTGTGATGAGAATGATATCATCCTATTTCAGACAGCCAACTAGCACAGCAAGGGGGATGGCTGAGTGAGCTGTGCAGAAGTTAATCCTCTAAGTAAAAATACAGGAGGTTCAGTGCCTCCCAGATAAAGGATAACAAGAAAAGAGAATTGCTGAATCCACAAAAGACACTCAAGTGTCCGATTTCCAGCACCAAAGCACTTTGACGCCTAAATACCAATACAGATCTGGACTGCCCTAGGCTGAATAAAGACAACAAACCGTGCTTCTCGCAGAAACTTCTCTTTCATTAGGGACAGCCTCACTTGCCCCAGAGACACCAGAATGCAGGAGGAGGATGCAACAGCAGGTCACAGAAGTTAAACTGTTTTGAGGAGTGGATTTATGCCTTCATAACAAACTATTTCTCCAGGAAACGCAAGCCAACCCTGCAAGCACCGACCAGCTCCTCGGCAGGCAGGCAGGCTCAGCAGGGAGCAGGAAAGGTCGGAGGGGTCTGGGAGGCGGTACCCCTCCTCCTGCCTGGGATGAGTACCCCTCCAGGCCGGGGCAAGGCAGCGCTTCCCCTTTCAGCCACCGCGAAGGCGCTATTCAAGGAATGCCGAGCCGGAGGCCAGCCCTGAGGAGGTGGCTGGCAAAGAGGAGGAAAAGAGGAACGAGCACCCCGCGGGAAACACACACCCCAGCCGCCCCGGGGCCCCCCCGACGGGCGCGGGAGCAGCCCCGGCGAGGAGGAAGAGGGGGACACAGCGGGGCTGCGGCAGCCCGGAAAGCTCCGTAAGTATCGGAGAGAAGCTCCCGTCCCCGTCTCCCGGCCGGGGCTCGCTCCTTACCTGCCATCCCCCGCTCCGCACCGCTCCGCTCCGTTCCGTTCCGCTCCGCCGTCTGCCGCCCCGGCAGGTGTGTCCGAAGCGCTCTCACCACCGCGCTGCACCTTCCTCCCTTCCTTCCTGCCTTCCCTCCCTCCCTCCCGTGCTCCCTCCTCCAGCCGGCTGGGAGGGAACCAGCAACCCCTGGGCAATGGAGAGCCGAGCCCAGCCCAGCCCATCCCATCCCAGCACTGCCCTGCCCGCCCCCGAGGGTAGCTCCTCTTTCCCCCAGCCTCTCCCGCACTCTGAGCCCCTCCTCCGGCTGCTCCTCACCTGGGCGGCCCAGGGAAGAGGGTTTCTCTTGCCCGCTCCCTCCGCAGCCCCGGGATGGAGCTGCTCTCCGGAAGGATACGGCTCGCCAGCGACTTCGCTTCCGAAAGGCAATTTGGGTTCACCTCCCGATAAACCGCCGCGGCAAGGGGGTGTCCGGCTATGGACTCACGGGTCTCTCTCGGCAAGGTGCAACCCTCTCCCCCCTCCGGCTCAACCTGCAGAGAAGAGGTGCATCAGGAGAGGTTTTGGTTCATGGGCTCCAGAGCTTGCAGCCCGGCCACCCCACTTGTAGGGCTGGTTCTGGATGCGGGGTGTGTGTGTGTGTGTGTCTGAAGCAAGGCAAGAAAATGAGAGTGATGGGAAGAATCCTGATAAAGGCTTAATTTTAGCCCCCAGTCCTCAGTAGTGTCTGTGGGTGGAGCTGAGCCCGGGGGCAGCATGACTGAGCTTTACTCCAGGGCATACAGGGGCTCATACCAGCCATCCTGACCACACACTGAGTCCCCAGGGACAGAGGCAGAAGCCTGCAAACTTTCCTCCTCCCTCAGTCCAGAAATCCCAGAGTGGATCTATGTGTCCCCACAGGATCCCCAAAGAGCCCACACAGGTTAACCTGCACCCCTGCCACATATCTAATTGCCCAAACCTGTGCTTAACACTGGCACTAGGAGGGGTCTGGGAGAGATGGAGTTGAGCACTGTGAATTTGATTAGCATCATATGCCTCCCCCTCCAAGGCTAAGGTGTTTTTCATTTTCTCTGGCAACTCCATTTCATCCCAACTGTGTCAAACCTCAGACCTTAGTGGCCAGGATAAGACAGTGCAGGCTCTGTGCAAGAGGTTCCCAGTGCAGTATAAAGCTAATAAGAAATGGGAGTTCACCTGATTCCCGTCAGTGTCAGCTTACAGGGTAGCCCAGAGTAGTGCTGTGCATCCCTCCAGAGCTTTGGACACAACACAAAGGAGCCCTAGCAACACCTTCCCAAAAGAGAGCTGTCCTCATCATCACACTACTACAGCTTCTAGACCCCACCTCTGCATGGAAACCTTTCTCTCCTTCCTGAGAAACCAAGGAGGGTAGAGTATGAAATGATCTTCAGGTGTGAACTCTGCCCTAAAGAATTCCCACTGCACCCACAATTAAAACCTTCATTTGTTTCTCCTCCAGGGCTGACAGCAGGCACGTCCCCTCTGCTCCCAACAGGGCTCCTGCACCGGCTTCAGCAAGGAGGTTTGAGGGAAGGGAGGCTTTAGCAAGACTCTTTTCCCATGCTGCTATGTTGTTTTCAAGATCAAGCACAACCACTCTCTGTGAATTCAGGTTGTATCTGTGTGATGCACAGAGCATCGTATGGATACACAGCATTTTCGCTGCAAAACATACCCAGGTACTGAGCAAACACCAGTCACATGCGCACACGCAGGGCTCTCAGCACACACCACCTCCCCTTGGATGGCATCCATCCCAACAGGGTGACATCCTCAGTGAATGAATTCATTGCTGACTCACCCTCCTGGCAAGGGGTCCCAGGCGCTGCCTTCCCCTCCCTTGCAAGCCCAGTGCTGCACAGCTCCCAGCGCTGCACTCCTCCCACCCAAAGGGGTAATGCTGACCCCGGACCACCAGCACCAGGGCACAGCTCTGGTTTCCAGCACTTACGTCCCACCAGAGGCATCCAGCTGAGTGATCAAAAGCAAGTACAAGCAAGGCTGCCTGCAGGGAACCCGCTGTGACTCAGGCCATGTCAATTTTTGCCTGCTAGTTACTCTGGAAAACAACCCCCAGTCTGTCTCCCTCTGTCTCTCTAGTGAAAAGATTTCCTGAGCAGGGTATTATGTGGTGGCAGAAGATAGGATCTTCACAGTCATGATAAGAGCCCCCAAACAAGGGGTGGTTTCTCACATTCACCCAGAGACAGCTGAACTCCAGGCTGATGTCAAGGAAACCTCTCCCTCCACCCGTCCTGACCCCAGTGGTAATGGCTGCGGTGCTTTGTGACTCAGAGCACACAGACATCAGACAGAGCAGGTCCCATATCAAGCACCATCAGCTGCTCTCTTTCATGAAGGGTCTCTGAGGTCAGCAGGTACCCCAGGACCACCCTTCAAGGCTCTGGGCTGGGCAGCTGATCCCAACAGATCACACAGGCAGCTCCTGAGAGGAAGAGTATGTGCCATCCCTGTGATTTGGCCAGGGTTTGGAGGCACAGAGATGAAGAGCTCACCCTTCCGGGGGATGCTGCTGTTGTACAAGACACCCCCAGCTCATCTGAGATGTGTGGTCCCACCAGCCTGCAGGTGCTCACAGTCAGGTATTACATTTCCAACACAGCTTTACTCACAGCAGCTACTCTTGTGCTGGCACGCTTGAGTTCACGCCAGGAATGACACCGGGGTGTTCGGGTGGGTTCTTTTGTGTTGGGTTGTTGGCTAGGTTTGGGGTTGTTTTCAAATCCCAGCCGAAACAGTCGCACTGGTAAAACTTTCCAAGCCGCACCGGCTCGCACAGGAAACCTATGACAAGGCGGCTAATGGTGAGCCACGTGTTGTTTCCACCACCAGCGGAACGGCTTAACACATGGCCACAGAGCATGACAGGCAGCTGCGTCCTCTGCAAGACCTGGTGGTGTGGGTCTGACCGTCGGGCCATGTTAAGAGGTTTGGTGGGACCCCTCGGAGCAGGGTGTGCCACAGCTCAGCGTAGTTTGCCCCATCCTAGAAACAGCCTTAGGAACGTCTGAGGCAGGGAAGGAATCCATTACATTCCTGATTGCGTGGCTAGAACACCACCAGTCTAAAGCTCAAGCTGTGGTTACAGATGGGGAGCTTAGATGCTTCATAAAGCCCTGCCCTATGGTTTGGGAAGTGTAGTATCTTTATCTTTATAAACCTGCCCTGAAACCACCTACCTGTGCAGTGTCTGTAATGTGAGCTGGTCAGAACATCTTCAATAATATACCTCTTTCTTGGTCCTTTAGTTCTTTCAATCAAAACATGTTATTCTTCTCACAGCCTGGTGATTTGCAAAGTTGGCTTCCAGTGAAGTTGTATGGGGGAGGCTTGCAACGCTCCAGAATGGTCTCTATAGTCAGGCTGAGGAAGAGAGTTTGGAATAAGCTCCCTGATAAAAACATCCACCCTACAGTAGCTGTCCCAACACAATTTGGTGTCGTGAAAAAAACAACTCTGCAGTTTTTGTTCCTGTATGGCACAAAAACAAGCGCTGAAAACACAAAAGAGGTTGTGAAACAGAATTATCGACTCCAGCCTGATCTAACAGCACACACATTAGTTCACACTGGATTAGTTAACACAGAGGAAAAAACACAACACATTTATTGTCCTAATGGCACTCATCAAACTCAGTGTTTCTATTAACAGCCTTTACAAGGACGTTGACTACCTGCTCAGATCCCCAACACTTTTGATAGCGGATACAAGACTGCCCCAGCACACTGAAAGTAGTTTGTTCTCTTTGTGTCGTGACTGCAGAAGGGGAGGAGGAACAAGCCTTCTCCCCCCCCAAAAAGGGATGATTAGCCTTCATGGCAGGAAGGAAATGCATGTATCTGTGTATGGAGATAGCAAAACAAGTAGATATTTCCTTCAGCATTCCTCCCCCTCACGAACACACCCATTGCCTGGAGCTACAAAAGGCAAACTATGTGGGAGCCTTTGGTGAGGCATTGGCAACACATCTCCATCCTCATTAGGGCATCGAGGTGTGCAGGCTGGAAAAGAAGACCAGCATTAGAGCAGGATGACAGGACTGGCATCACTGGGATGAGCTTCCCCACTCCAAAGCTGCCCAACTGCCTCTGGCAAAAGGGATCCAGCTCAGCAGGAGCCTGGAAATCTCCTCCTGCTTGGCTTCACCTCAGCCTTCCTCACAGTTGCCTTTTGGGCAGAAAAGAAGTGGTTGTCCAAGAGGCAAGGCAATGGATGGAGCCCGGGGAAGGAACAAACCCAACTGCAATTTAACTGCAGCCCACAACAGCTCTTCAAACCCACCCTCTTTTCCTTAGTGGTTTCCTTGCACGCTAGGGCTGCAGCCACCAGAGGTCAATGTGACCACATCAACCTCAACTAGCTGTGGTGGACAGAGCCCCTTTGAACCTGGGACGGACGCATACCACAGAGTAGGTGGTTTTTTCCACCTCTCAGGACATAACTTTGGGGTAGATTTGTATGTAAACCAACATCGAAAGCATCGATCCCAATGCAACCTCAGCACTACCCTGGAAAAAAGGGCTTGAGAATGACAATGTCCTCAACTAGCATCCTGCAACCACTCTGAACTGAGACCCTGTTACTTGCCTGCGGTCATACAGGACCCCAAAGTGTTCCCATCACTCCAGGGATGTTTCATCCTGGTAGTTTCAGTGTCACTAGGGTGTTGTCACCAGTCCCAGACCTGCCTTGTTAGCAATAGGTGGAAAAGGGCTATCTGTCCTCCCCTGAGTGCCGGTTCTGCTCCCTGAGGTGCAAGGTCCATCACACTGAACGAGGTCTGCCACAGACCCGGGCTGGCTGAACAAAACACACAGCTGACCTGCAGCGAGAGGAAGGCAAATGGGTTAAATAAGCAGGGTCATCAATCTGGATCAGAAGACAGACAGGGAAGAAGGGGCCATGCAGAACAGAAATCACGTCTAGATAGCTTTGTAACAGCCAGCAGTTCCTCTGCACTCCTGTGCGTACCAGTTACCTTCTCTCCACCTCACCTATGTCTTCCCTTAGGCCTCCTCAGTCACAGAGAAGTCCTTTCCATCCTTTCCTCCCAGCCCTTTTATCATCTATGTGGACAGCCACCTCATCAGAGCGAATGAGTCACTCATATTCCCCCTCCATCAGATTCCACCCTCCTCTCCAGCCCTGTGGGATGTCAGGTTTCCCTGGATGAGAGCTGTGTCCTTCAAGAAGACCCCACTGGACTACAGGATCATCAGTGGATGTGCTATATCACAGAACGGGCCAGGGTTCATGTGCTGGGGGAGGAAGATGCCACTCTTTCAGACCTACCAGCAAATTTGCTCCATAAAGCAACAGGCTACATAATTAAGTCCCCTAAAACTCCCTTCTGCTGTAACAGTTGAACGTTTGAGAACATGGGTTGGCAATGTACATAGGAAGGCATGTTGGCTTTTCAGCCTGCAAGCAGTTAAAGCTCCAGCAGCGACGGTCAG